GCTGGCTTTGTTTGCAACTCGGGCAAGTTGCAGTTTGTTTTTGAGGCTAGCACTACTAATAGACTATTTACACTTCACTCAGACTCCCACCCAGGGCGAATTACGAGTAAAATTTTTTAGAATCTCCCTGTCAGCACATCCAAGTTGAGAAAACTAGCGTTGATACGCAAAATTCGTATGAACCAACACACTTGACGACATTTCATAGTAAGTAGGTCTTGATAATATAATTAGATTTTCTATAAGAATTAGAATTACATTAGTTCGCTTAAGTTTTATAATTGAGTCAAGGCTTTATAGCCAGTGATCAGCATTCCTCACAGACCCAGAATTTGTTGCTACATGGTGACGTATTTCTGCGAGTTGCGTACAGTCAGGTTTAGGATCCCGATGAAGATGTTAAAGAAGCCAAGTCTAGGGTCTACTGTAGCTACTTTGTATGAAAAAAAACGTAAAGGCAAATTAAATTGAAATTCCATTGCATCGCAAGGCAGTAACTATTGGAAACGAAAATATCAAGTCTTCTATCTACAAAACTAAGCTAAGGCGACCCTTTTTCTTAGTATAATTACTATAATTAATTAATAAATGTGACAAACAGGTTTCAAAATCTTGGAAAAAAGCTAGTTGGAAGAGATTCCTCGTGTCCACTAAGGTTGTGATACCGCCCAATTGATTTTACTACTAGTGCAACTAGCAGATGGAATCATACGGTGGAAAAATCTTCAGGGATATATAAATCTACATATAGAAACTGATTGTAGTTATAGAAGCTAAATAAGTATAGGCTATTAAATTCCAACGTAAGGATCTATTGAGGATAAGTTTGAGAGAAGTATTGGATAAAAATAAAATGAATAAAAATCAGCAAAGAGGTGCTAGAATCCCTCTATGGCCATCTTAATAACTATGATAAAAGAGTTTCCTTGTGTAGTTAACCAATAATAAAATTATAAGAGAAATATGATGGACTAGCTTAATGTCAACATCCAGTTAATTGGATTCATAATAGACAATTTAAGATAAAACATAACAATGAGGAATTAGCCTATGCCGGCCGTCCATTATGACAAAATAAAAGTAGCTTTGGTTTTAAATATATACCTGCGTAGACTACAGGATTTCTTATTTTTGATTAAACAGTCAGGAAATAATAACAACTCAATATTTTTTAAATGTTTTTTACCTTATATGCATTATATATCTGGGGAATATTTGAATTTTGGTTTTTAGTCTGGATTTTTCAGGCCATGATAAATAAAAGAAAATAATTTGTATTGAAAACGAGTGATTGGTAGAGATAGAACGATAGCCAATGCGAAACGTCTAAACGATTATGAATATATATAATACTTATCCCCTATGACATAAAAATTCAAATAAATTTAATTTGTTAGAAGTTGTTTAAATTTGTGTTCGCAGCTTGGTCGTGTTGTCAGAGGACCAAGAGGAAGGCACCTTGTGTGCTGCTAATAATGGCAAAGCTTACTGCCGGAGAAAGATCTATGAATCTACCAAGTCCACGGTCATACTGGAAATTATCATGCATACTATAGGCTCCGGAGAAGCGTTCACTAGATAGGCCTGACAATAAGACTAAGATGTGAAAACAAGGTCAAACAATTTCTATACAGAGGAGATCGTGACCATACATAAGTATGGTCAACTTCTTATTCTTTATCATCTTGCTTGCTTGTTAGGTTGGATTAAGTATAGTATGGACTGGATAGAACGCTTGAAAACTCACAGCGTTGGCGCCCTAACTCTAAAAGAAAGCTTATGAAAAATAAGGAAAAAGGCGTTTCAAATAGACTCTGGAGAGCCATTGTTCAGGTAATGCCGAAAATAAAGAATATTTTCTTGACGTTTGAAGCATAACGAAGTCTGATAATCCTAATGACTGTAGAAGCTATTTTAGACCACATAAATAGAAAGTCAGTCCAATCTATTATGAAGATGTTAGGTTAAATGGAGAGGTCAAGATGAGATAAGAGGCCAAGGGAGAATAAAAGCATAAATCTTTTCCAAAACTTTTCGTTAGCCTATACCACCAACAAGGACAGTAATATAGATTTTAAGAATCATCAGACATGAGTAAGCTCACTCAGAAAATTATATATAAATATATATATATATATTAGGGTATAAAAATAGTAGGTTACGGATAATAAAGTTCATGCCAAGACGCCATATGAAAGCAATTTGAAGAATCGAGAAATCCAAGCAAATAACGGTAGCCAAAATATATCTAATAATTTCATAAATAACGCCAAATAATGCAAATATGTGAAGACAACGGCTCGAAAAAGAATGACGATCTTATCATGCACACATGGATGACTATAGATTAGTATACAGAATAACTAGAGAATTATAATGCAACCTACTCGTAACAAATATACTCATAAAAGGAAGACAAGGATTTTCATCAATAACACGATTAACCGCATATTAATGCGCCAGTAAAGTATAAGAGCTATTTACATCAGAAACAGATAAGATATGTGGCATATCTTAGACACTTTGATCCATACGCTCTAATTTAAGGTCTCTACCAGAAAATTTCCCGGGTATCTGAAAGGTAAGATGCAGCGAGAAACTATTCCTTCGTCTCCAAAAGTACCTAAGTATTTATAAAACATGTAAACCAATAACCCTAAACAGTATATATATATATATATGTCTGTTCAGAAATGGAGAAATCAAACATCCGCTCAAAGAAAAGTTTAGCAGTAGTGAGAGAGGCAATAGATGGTGGGAATAGAGAGGATAGTGTTCACTGAACCGAGCAAGCCTTTATGGCTAATGTGGTGGACAGTTGAGATGTGAGACATAGCAACAGAGAAGCGAAAATAGAGACCAAAAATGATGGTATGACTAGTAGTAGTAATAGCAGAGGCAGCAGGGTTAGGATAGCGACTTACAACCACAGGCCGGCATGCACAAGCATGCGCTAGCGCGTTAGGCTTCAGACTCACATGTTGCTGTGACCCTAATTGTGGATTGGGTTTGCACATGGCAACTGCAAGCCAAGGCGCATACGAGCCAGCATAGCTACTGTCAAGAGCACGGCTGGGGGCAGAGGGGCTAGACGAGAGACAGAGATGCATGCATGCAGAGGGCCAGAATTTAGCCGTTTGCATTTGCATCGTGAACCTGGCATAGTGACTCCAGGTGCGAAGGCAGTTTTATAAAGAGGACAGGGCAGGGGCACAGACACCGTCACAGAAACACAAATTGTCAAAACAAGCAAGTATACTGAGGGACGGGGGTCACAGGAGCAATGCCCCAGCAACCTGGCGTGCCGAATGGGGTCAACTTTGTTGCCAGGTGGTGACGAGGTGATCGGCAGGGAGGACCAAGCAGAGACAGTTGCAGGTTAAACACCATGCCCGAAGAAACAGGACAAGAGATGACCAAAGGATAAGACATGTAGGTTAGTCGAGAAAACTAAGTTCGGTACACTTGCTGAAAGAAGTGAAGGGATGACTGGTTAGGAATCGGTACGTGGTTTGGCCTACACAAATAGGCCAAGCTAAGAGCTAATTTCAATATATACACACATACTTACAAGGTAACTAACATACATAAACGAACCACACAAATTAGCAGATTCAGTTCACAGAAGGGCGCACAGAAAGCCCGAGTTTATGACTTGAATTCCTTTTGGTATATAGCCAATTGCTGCCAAATGCACCGCCGCGATGTCTTGGTCCAGTCAGAATAATGGGAGTCAGTTGTCGTCGCTCTTGCATAGGTTTACTTGACGCGGTAGCCGGCATTGACGATCCGGGCCGAGTGACTCAGACCTGTAAATGAAGCTAAGCGTTTAAGGCCGAGCGGAACGGAAGGCGCTGTCTTTGGTGATCAAGCCGGCCAGGTAGAGTAACAGTCTCATAACCTTAGAAATATTCAACTCATCTAATCGTTAAGATTCAAAAACTGTGGAAAAGGTGAGCTTCAGGCGAAATTGGTTCAACAACCAAAATATAATATATTATAT